CAAGGTAAAACGAGAGAGACCACACATTTCTAATATTATGAGAGAAATTGCCAAGACTACCACGAACTCTATAGACTTTATAAAGACAGTGACAGAACATTATGAAACATTTCAAAACATGCCAGTGTAGCAGATACAGATGAAATGGTAGCCTTCGAATGGACAATTTCAAATGGTAAGTTTCAAATGTAAGGGTAAACGGAACATCTGTCACCGCATGCACTGAATCTGTAGTCAAACGCCCACGACTGCGGTGTGTAGAATCTACAGAAGTCGGAATGAGAGGTGAAGAGGGTGGAATGCTGGTTACCAGGGTTGGAGTGAGGGAGAAAGAGGGAGATATTTTGGTTAAAGGGCACAGTCTCCCAGTTACAAGGTGAATAAGTTCTGGGCATCTGATATATGGCAGGGCAGTTATAGCTGGTAACACTGTATCGCATTTTCAAGTCTTGTGAAGAGGGTAGGTCTTAAATGTTCTCATCATGAAGAAACGGCAACCAGGTGATCAGATGGAGGCCTTAAGTAAAGCTATGTGGTAACCATTTTCCGATGTGTGTGTCAGTTCAGGAAGCTTCCCTGGTGAGTTATTCCAAACACTTAAGTACTAATTAAAAAAAAAAAACTGAACTGTTTCTTTGTATAATTTAGCTGGCTGTGCTGGGTCTTCACGGCGGCGCACGTCTTCGCTTTCCACTGGCAGCGGGGGCCTGTGGATCTTTAGTGAGACAAGTGGCATCTAGCTCCCCGGCCAGGGATGGAGCCTGGGCCCTTCCCCTGGGGGCATCGAGCCTTAGTCACTGGACCACCAGTGAAATCCCAAACAGTTATGTACTTATTAAGCACACACACACTCCATAACTGCGTAAACTTTTCTTTAAAACAGAAAAAGAAGGCATTTACCTCAATACTTCAACACATTTATCAGGCCAGAAAGATACACTCACGAAAACCTGACAAGGGAATTTTAAATGGGAAAGGGAAAGGATGATTTCTCCCATGGCCTTGGATGTAAATCCATGAACAGTGTACACAAGTCAGATTTAGTGACATGTTCAAGGGACGTTACTCATGACTGTACTGTGAGTTGGTTTGTTTGTTTTTGGATGGACAGAGTAACTTAAAATTTTAAAAATCTATCACATCATGCAATATATCGGTACAACAAATGAAAGAATAATCACCTCAACACATGTAGGCAAACTGTTTGATAAAATATCTGAACGGTTTCTGCTGAAAATAAAAACACATCAGAAGTAAAAGGGGATTTGCTTTCATCTGTGAAGGCGTGTTTACCAACCAACCCTAGACGTCACTCGTGAAGGTGAGAACTGGGGTCCACGCCTCTGTGCCTGGCAAGGATCCGAGTATGTTCCCACGACCACGTCTCTTCACCCTCGCACTGGTGGTACCTACTGAGGAAGTGAATCCGGACAAAGCGAGCAGCTCTCAAGTGGGTGAGATCAGTGCTGCATTACCAAGACTGTGCACCTCTGTGCACAGAATACAGAGGAACACCAGGTGTTCTGCTCCAGTTGGGAAGGAGCTTTCTGGGGGGCCCTGCTGTTGCAGGGGCTAAGGCTCCAGCTCCCAGTGCAAGGGGGCCCGAGATCGATCCCTGGTCGGGGGACTGGATCCCACAGGCCCCAACAAAGACCTGGTACAGTGAAATAAAGAAAGAAAGAAGATTTAAAAGTAGTGTTCCAACATTGCTGGACACGTGATCAATATTTAGAATTCAGCTGCCTTCCAGAATTCCGGTCCTGGGCTGAGATGAACTAAATGAAACTTCTTGTTTCTTGACTTCACGCCAGTGAGCCTGATTTCATACTCCTGATCTCTAGAGCTGTAAGATCATATAAGTCTTTCAGTTCACCAATTCTCTGGCCATTTGTGGTAAATGGCGACCAATACAACCACTTAACTTTCCTTTGGGTTAGAGTTTGCATAGTACATTTTTAATCCTGCTACTTTTTTTTAATGGTATAAAACCTACACACTGATATTTTCCACTGTTGAAACATGAATAAAGCATGTAGTTCAGCGGCCTTAAACACATTTACCACGTTGGGCATTCATGGCCACCGTCCATTTTCCAGAACATTTTCATGATCCCAAACAGAAACTCTGCACCGGTTAAGCGAGAATCCCTTACATCCTCTTAGAACCAGCCCCTGGTCAGCTCCGTCCTAACCCTGCCTTTAGGGATTTGGCTGTTCCCAGCCGTTCATGTCAGTGAAATCATGCAATAGGGGATACTTTGTGTCACGCTGACATCACACGGAGTAATGTTTCCAGGGTTCGTTCCTATTGTTCATTCTTTCACTTTTACATGTTATCTTGTATATGTTATATTTGAAGTGAGCTTTTTCTAAACTTCATGGTGTAGGGTCTTTGTGGCAGTGGTTTTTTCTTTAACCAGTCTGAGAGTCTCTGTCCTTGAATTGCTGTGTCTGGCCCATTCTCATATAACGTCATTACTGATAAGATTGTTGTTTGGGTTTACCATTTCATCTTTTAAAATGTTCTCCCTCCTCTTTCTTGCTCTTCTGTTTACCGTTTCCTGCCTCTCCTCGGATTTAAAAATATTTTTAGCTTTCCGTTTTAATTTCTCCGTTGGTGGTGTAACTGTACCTTTCTGCTGGTTAAGTGGCTGTCCTAGAGATTGTCAGGTACATACCCAACTTTACACAGAAAGAGAATTTTACCTCTTCATGGGAAATGTGGAGGACTTACAAATCTATAGGTCACATTGTTCCTACCCCCTGTATTTTGTGGTGGTTGTGTATGTTATCCCCACACGCAATTCCAGGGCCCTGTCGGGGCCTATGGGACCGGGTCAAGGTGGGTGAGTTCTCCCCAGCCCTCCTGCTTCAGCCCCACGACAGACCCCAGCCCTGCCATCAGGGGGAGCACACTGCATGTGACGGGTGGTGACCAGTCTGGGGACAGCCTTGCAGTGACATCTAGGGGAAGCGAGGGCAGAAGGGCGCCCGACACTTCAGCTCTGCATCCTTTCCAGGAATCCCCCGACACCCTCCGTCCGGGCTGGCCCAGGGCCCACGGTCACCAAGGGGGGCCCAGTGACCCTCTGGTGTCAGGGGTCTCTCCAGGCTGAAGACTTCTGTCTGTAGAGAGGGTCTCCGGACCCTTGGACTCCAGTAACAAAGCCAGTTTCTCCTTGGAATCCAGCAGCTCACACTGCAGGGCTGTGTCTGTGTGCCCACCACCGTGGTCAGAGCGGAGGGACCCCCTGCCCCTGGTGGGGACGGGGAGAGGGAGGAGCCGGTCCCTGCCACTGGGCCTCCTCCTCACAGGCAGACGGGCAGAGTTGGGGCTCAGGGGGCCCCTCCTTGCCCAACTGCGTGCCCTGCTTGCTGCGAGAAGCTCAGAGATCCCTCGGGCCCCACCTCAGACCCAGCACAGTCGGATAAAGACAATCAGTTATTCATTAAGTTAAAACAATGGATACATAATCTCCAGCAAAGCATCCGGGACTGATGCACATGGGGAATTAGGTAGCACCACAGCCCACTCAACCACTCCATGTCATCACAGCTGCTGTTTCAATTCCCACCTTCTCACCTTCAAGTGAAATAATTTACTATCTCTCCCTAAATTCTTAGTGTGAGTAGTGAGGTCATTGATTTTGTTAGGCTTTTGTAATATATTCATTCATGGTTCTAAATTTTCTAAATTCATGTTTTTTTCCTGCACATATCAATGTTTTAAATTCATACATTTGATTCATACTGTTTACCTTATCATTTATTGAAAATGTTTTCCAACTTCTGTGTTGCCTTGTTTGTTATGGTTTGCTTTTGGTTTTCGTTCTCAATACACACATTTATCTTTGTATACTTCCAGGCACAGGTGGAACATTTTTTGCAAGCTTTTTCATCACAGTCAACAATTGAATGCAATTCAAATGTTTATTAATTGGTAAATGAATGAACAAAACACAGTAATACAATCCATGGAATATAGTCAACAGTAAAAAGAAGAAACTATAGTTCAGTGCTAAACACAGAAAAAACTAAAAAGAAATTATGCTAAATTTAGGAAAACAGCCTGAATGAAAAGACTAAATGTTTTAAATCATATTTATATTAAATAAGATCAAATTAAGTATTAATTTGATCTTATTTATATGAAAAATCTTAAAAAGCAAATTTATAAACACAAAAAGCAGATCAGTGGCCCCTAGGGCAGAGATCAGAGCACACCTGCAGACAGGCAAGCCAAGTCTGAGGGATGGTGAAATGTGTTCTGCGACTGGTTTGTATGATGGTTGCACAACTGTAAACGTTTACTAGTAACCACTGGATGGTGCGCACACTTACAGTGTGTGATGGGCAGAATAAGGACCCCCCACCCCAAGAAAGATAGCTACTTTCCTATCCCCCAAGCCTGTAGCATGTTACCTCACATGGCAAGAAGGACCATGCAGCTGCAGCTGAGAGGAGAAGGGGGCATGATCCTAGATTAGCTAGGGGAGTCCAAAGAGCTACACGCGTACTCGACGGTGGGAGAGGGAAGTGGCGGACGAGGTCAGGGAGAGGCAGCAGTTCTCGTCTCCCGTTTGGGCTTCAAAGACGAAGCAAGTGCTCCCGAGGCAAGGGCTGGGATGGCTTCTGGAGGCGGGGCAGGGCCCTCAGCACACAGGAAGCCTGATTCCCACCAGCATGATAAGTGCTGTTATTCCAAGACACTGAGTCGGACTGTCCCCTTCAGCCTCCAGAAGGGAGCAGAGCTCGGATCCAGTTTACTCTTCATCCGCACACTGATTTTAGGCAGGTCTGTTGCATCATTTCCCAAATATCAGGATATTGGTTATCTTTGAGGGTAGAACCGGTTGACCCCTCCTGGGGCCCCTGGAGGTCTGTTAGGAGCCCAGGGACTGGCTGCTGGTCGTTACGTGGTGTCCATTGCTGGCCGCTCCCGTGCCTCCTGGGGTCCCTGAGATCTGGTCCCTTGATCCTGGGGTCCGGGTCCTTCCTGGGCTAGCGAATGGTGAGAGCAGCGTACTCACTGGGCTCTGCTGGGGGTTCCCCCAACGGGGGGCCGGGGGGTGCGGCCATCCCCCTTCTGACAGTCGAGTGGTTCAGCTGGGCGTAGGTCACATCCTGGGGGTCTTCGGATGTGGCAGCCTGCGGGGGAGGGGGGAAGGTGTGTGAGATGGGGTGCCTGGGGGCCAAGAGAGGAGGGACCCATGTGCTGTGCTTCTGTCCGTCCTTCCTGGAACCCCCCCGACCGGGAGGAGAGGGGGCACCTCCCACCTTCATCTTCATCTCAGGGGTTCACAGGGCGCCCGTCCCCTCCTGGGGGTCTGCCTCCCACCTGTTCTGCTGGAGGGAGACCGTGAGACAGGACAGGCGCCTCCTGGGCCCGCCGCCCTTCCTCCAGCCAGCTCCCCGCTGTGCCCACATGAGGCTTGGAACCTCAAGTCAGGTCAGCTCACTCTCCTGATGGAAACTCCAGGGGCCTCCTGACGCCCGGGAGTCTCCGGGTGCTTTGTCCGGCCCTGGTTTCTGTCTGAGCCCTGGCCTCTTGCTCATCTGCCTGGGCACACAGCCGTCCTCCTGCTAAAGCGCGTCCCTCACGCCTAAGGGCCTTCCTACCGAGTGCCCACCCCGTGCGCCCAGTCCCGTCTCGTGATTTACTTTCCTCGTCAGGCCCTTGCATTCTGGGATCCGCCTGCTTGTTGGCGTGGGGCCCTTCTCACCGCGAGGTGAGTGCCCACAGTACCTGCAGGGCCAGGGGGTGGTGCCCGCACTCCCACGCCCTTTGCTGGGGGATGAAGGAGGGGGGCCTGGGGCGTGCAGGCAATCCACTGATGCACGCGTCCTCTTGAGACCTGGGGCTGCACCCCCACACCAGAAGTTCAGCCAGAGGACACGGAGCTGGGAAAGGCGCCCCGAAGGAGGGGCCGTGAGGTCACAGGGCGAGGGGAGGCTGGGGTCATGGCAGGAAGGAGGGGTCAGGGTGGGCGTGGCTGGAGTTGGGGTGTGAGCACAGCGACGCGTGCGCTGGGCTGAGTTTGGCACCAGGAGGTCTGTGGTGGCCGGACGGGAGCAGGGGTCTCACCCGGTGGTCCAGCTGCAGCCCCACCTCAGACTGTGCGTCGCTCACGGCAGCATCTGAAGCAGAGCAGGGGGACAGCTGGGCGGGGTTCCGAGAGCCTCAGGGCTGGAGCCCCCGCCCTGCACCCCGGGATGCGTGCTGTGTGGTCCCCCACCCTTCTGAGCGTCCCCCCACTGCCTCCAGAAGTCTCTGTGCCCCCCGCCACGGGCCACCGCCTCTCCTGCTCACAGATGGCCTGGTCCTGGGTGTCCGTGGCTGGGCTGGAGCTGAGGAGGAGATGCTGTGTCAGCGGGAGAAGGTGGGGTGCTGTGGGGGGCTCTGGGGGTGTCGGAGCGGGGGTTACCTGCTCTGCGGGCCTCTGTCCTCAGGCCCTTGGTCTGCGGCCCCTGTGGGAGGTTGGAAGTCAGCCTCGGCCTGGGCTGGGTCCCAGGACAGAGGCTCAGCCCCGGGGAGGTGGTGACCCCGCCCTCCACGTGGGGTTCAGGAGGAGAGGAGGCAGCCTGGGCTCGTGGTGTGTGTTTCAGCTCGTGACGTTGAGAAGGAGGGAGATGGCTCGTGGGCTGACAGTGGGTGTTTTCTTTCTGAGTTTTCGAGTATCAGTCTCTGGACGATGTCTTCTAAGCTGACCTTCCCATTTGTTAGGTTTCCCTTTGAGTGGAGCCCAAAGCTCCTCGGCCTCCAGGGGCCTTGCTCACCCCATTCCGTACTCACCCGAGTTCCTGCGTCTGTCCCGACCCCGGTGTCGGAGGAATAGGAAGAGGAGGACCAGGAGCAGCAGGACGAAGGTCACCGAGGCCCCGATGAGGACACTCGGGTACCAGGTGAGGCCTGGGGCACCAGAGACGTCTGAGTGAGCCAGTGATGCCGTTTGTCTGAGCACCTGCTCTGTGCGGACTCCTGCTGGGGTCTGTGCCTCCATCTCCAACCCATCCCACCCATTTTACAGGCGAGGAAACTGAGGCACAGAGACGGAGATCATGGCCCTGGTGACCCAGCCTGGACGGGGCAGAGCCGGGACTGGAACCAGGGCCGTGGGCGCCCTGAGCGCCTCCTGAGCTGGCCCCCAGGAGGACACCAGCTTCCTCTCTGGGGGCCCCTCGCCTGAGGGGGCTGCGCGAGGGTCTCAGCTGGAGCTGAGGGTCCTCCCTGGTCCCCGCCCCTCAGCGGGGGCGGGGGGAGGGGCAGGCTGCGTGAGGGGCCTCTGGGTACCCCCCCCACGGCATCACTGCGCTGCAGCGGAGGGGACAGGTCCCACCGTCACCTCCTCGCCCGATGGGGCTCACACCCAGGTCAGAACCCGGGCGTCTACAGTCTGGGCCACGGGCCTCTCCTTTTACTCTGGGAGAAGCTGAGGCCCACGCCCGGGCGTGGTGAGGGTGAGGGGGTCCTCATCAGAGTCTCCAGAGGCGCCTGAACCGGGGGCAGATTCAGCCTGTCCCCGGGACCCTCGACCACCTCCCCAAGACCCTCACTCTTACTCTGCAGTTCCTGAGTCCACTGAGGGGCAGGCTGATCCTCTGAACCTCCTGTGGAATCAGGAAGGGGTGGGGGGGGGGCTGCTTCTCCCCTCCTCAGCCTTGCTGCTCCCCTCACCAGGCTGGCCCCAGCATCTCCCGCTCCATGACCCCTGACCCTTCATCCATCAGCCTCAGAGCCCCTGGAGGCTGCAATTGCCCTGCTGTTCTGCCCAACTTCCAGCACCACCCCCAGGACACCAGGTGTGCTGAGACTGAGTTCGATAAGCCCAGGACCGGGGACAGGCCTGGGGCCAGCTGTCCCTCACGTTACAGAGACCCCATTGTCTCAGGAGCTGTTACTTTTACCCCTGTCAGGGGGCTGGGGTCCCCAGGATTCTAAATGTCCCCTGTGGCTGGGAAGGGTTTGCGGCCACCTGGGACCCACTCTGCTCAGCGCATCTCTGAATCTGCCCCGTGGCTGCTCCTGGCTCTCTGCCTCCTTCCCCCTCCCCCGAGAAGCCCAGTGACAGGATGTGGGAAAGGGCGTGGGGGCAATGTTCCCTCCATCCCTCTGAAGCCTGGGTCCCCATCTGCGTGACCCTCCTTGGCTCTCTTTGGAGCCTGCCAACTCCCACCCTAGAAAGAGGGGCTCCTTCAGAGCTGACCACTGGGCCTCACCTGAGACCAGGAGCACCAGGGGCTCACTGGGCTGTGACAGCAGGTAGGGCTCTGTGCTGAGTGCGCGATAGCACCTGTAGGTGCCCCCGTGGGCCGAGCTCACAGGACTCAAGGAGAACTCGGCCTGGAACCGCCCGTCTTGGTCCTGGGCGCACAGACGCAGGGGGCGATGAGCTGCCCCCTCCTGGGACAGAAGGAAACTGTCCGTCCTGTTTCCTGACTGACACAGCAGGGTCACTTTCTCCCCTGGGGCCACCGAGGGGCCCGGCCTTGCCGAGAGGGAGGGTCTGTCTCTGAGCAGTCCTGCAGAGAGGAAGGGGGTACAGGCCCGGCCCTGGTTCTGAGCGGGACTCCTCAGGCCTCTCTGGACCCTCAGCGCTGTCTCTGTTTCTCCAAGTCTCCCCCTCCCCCACCCCATCTCTCCGTCCCCTCCCTGGGACCCCTCCCCCTGGTCCCAGCATCACCCCTGGGGCTCCCCGGTGGGGCCTGTGCAGAGTCTGGCCCCCGACTGACCCGCTGGCCCCTCAACTGCCACCAGGAGCTCCAGGGGGTCACTGGGGGC